GGGGCCAGGTTTCAGTGACTGATAGCATGTGGCTCTCTGTTCATATCCCTGGGCCTGGCCACGGGGAGTCCTGACCCATCAGAATAATGGCAGTCTGACGTGCCCTCTTCCCTACAAAGTGGGGACGAATAGCTTCTACGTAGCCCTTGCTGTCTTAGGTCAAAAGGTGTTTGGCAAGAAGCAGGTACATGCATTGCTCTGGAGAGAAACTGAGGCAGGGAGGACCTGTTCCTTGGAAGCAGTAGATGAAAGCCCTGACTTGATACCATCTCTGCCTAACTAAGAAGGCTTGGCATGAGTTATGGTCTTGGACTCACGAATATTGAAGGATATGACCAGGACAGGTCACTGCCCATGGTCCCACAGCCTTAGTGAGTCCTTGGGGTTGTAGCTCAGCAAGGAAAATGGATGCTTTCCGAGCAAAAAGTTCAGATCCCCGAGTGGTGATCTGACAATGCAGCTGGCCTTCGGACAGCTGGATGGGGGATGGAGCTCTTTGGTTTCCTAGAGTGTGAAGATACTTTCTCCATCCTGAAAGTCAGCATCTCAGATGTGCAAACTTAAAAGGGAAAGAACAAGAAAAGTAATAATTCTGGCTCAAGTGAAGCTTCTTCCCCAAATTTGAGGTGTTCTGAGAAGACTGCAGCTGTGCCTTAGCTTACATTTCAAAGCAGCTGTTTCAAAGGACAGCAAGAAAGGACCTTTGTCTTGTTTAAAAAGCAGAAAGAAAGGTCAACCCTAAGTGTTTTCAGCATTTTTTTTTCAAAGTGTAAAAGTCATTGAAACTGGCCTGCTCCCCAGAAAAGTGTTGGTCCTGTCTAAGGAGGTTTTTGTTTCAATAGAAAATGGTTTACCAAAAAATTTCCCAGCGGGGGCTGGGAGGAGCCAAGAGGAGCAGGAAAGGATAAGGGGTGGGCCAGGAGGCTGAGAGATGTTCTGAGGCTTCAGGAGCCCAGAGAAGCCCTAAGCAGCAGGATAGTCCCCTGACCATCCCCATAAGACCTGCTGCCCCACGCACGGGTTGTTTCATTCGTGCCAGCCAATGTGTGTTAGTGTGGGACAGCCAGGGACAGTTAGTTTTGAGCAGAAGGATCTATTAACATCCAGTAATGAGAGATTTGGAGAACAAGAGTCTTAAGCCACATTTGCCATCCCTGAGGGATCCACAGCATACCTTCTCTGCAAACACCCTGCGGTAGGTTTTTTTGCCCCTTTGTATGTCTATTTAACTGTGGTGTTCTCCTCCCAGCAGCTTTAGACCATCTCTTTGGGCTCCTGTTGACCCTGTAGATTTGGTTGCTCCCTAGTCCTGTGATGAGCCCCCTTTGCTCCTCTCCAGGGAGAATCTCTCACTCCGCTGCCATGTTGCATTACAGATGACTCCCAGATTTTTCGCGTCCAAGTGCGCCAAGTGGAAGACTACCCCGTGGACATCTACTACCTGATGGACCTGTCCAACTCCATGAAGGACGATCTGAGGAACATTCAGAACCTGGGCACCAAGCTGGCCAGCGAGATGGGCAAGCTAACCAGCAACCTACGCATTGGCTTTGGAGCCTTCGTAGACAAGCCCATTTCTCCCTACATGTATATCTCTCCTCCAGAAGCCATCAGAAATCCTTGCTATGAGTAAGTCCCAGCCTGATGCATCGGCTGTCAACAGTTGGGGAGGCCTGTAAGAGCCAGAAGTTAATAGGATGCTACTGGACCGTGGCTGGGATAAAGTGTTTTCACTTTGTCACATTGGGAGATACTGCATGGGTACCTGGTATGAAGCAGTGGAGCGGTGCTGGTCACACCTGCCAAGGATTTGGCCCTTTGCATCCAAAAAAGGATGCAGTAGGATTCCTGGGCTCAGTTTCTGGCTTTTCTTCCCACAGGCCTTGTGGGAGCTTGGTCCAAACTCTCCTGCAGAAATGGACTTCAGCAGGGAGTTGGGTGCCTGATTTACTGGGAACCTGGCAGGGCTTAAACCTTGGACAAACAGGGAAGAACAGGCTGACGCAGGCAGAAAGAGCAGATAAAAACTTTGAAGTATCATTCACCCTGAAAGGCTATGGGTGCAAACAAGTTTCCACCATTTTTCAGGAAAGATGCTGAGGCTCAGAGACAGTAACAAACTTCTGAAAAATCCCATAATATCCATTGTGCTGGGCGTGGGAAATGGAATTCCCAGCAGGGTAAGGCTGAGAACTGGGTGAGACAAGACTCCCATAACCAGGTTTTCCAGAGCTCGTACACCAGAGCCTCAAGTTGTCACACTGAAGCGGGGACTGCTGACATGAGCCTAGGATGACTAGAACATGATGGATTTTCAAAAGATCCTTCACCAGCCACCCTATAGGTAGAGGATGAAGAAGGACCCTTCTGCTATATCCTTGGGCTGTCAGGGTAGCTGAGTCTTTACTGTGGGTAAAGATAGAACTCAGGAGTGAGTCGGTCCCCCATCCTGTGCCTCAGTTTCCCTTCCTTATTAGTTTACTTGAGGCCTGGGCCAGAGCAAGACCTGACAGCAGTGTAGAAGTCCTGTTTTCCAGGACAGGCTTCAAACAAGAATAGGCAGGGGTTGTGTTGCTTGCAGGAAGAAGAGGCATCCCAGAGAGAACCATAGGATGGGAGATGGCTGCAGGGCTGAGGTGGGAGCTGGAAATGCCCAGCAAGTCTCATGCCCCAGGGCCCTGACTACTCTCCTCCCCCTGCCTCCCCCAGGATCGGCGAGACCTGCCTGCCCATGTTTGGCTACAAACACGTCCTAGCGCTCACAGATGAGGTGAACCGATTCAATGAGGAGGTGCAGAAGCAGAGCGTCTCGCGGAACCGCGATGCGCCAGAGGGCGGCTTCGATGCCATCATCCAAGCCACCGTCTGCGATGTAAGAATGCCTGGCTGGGGCAGGGAGAGGGTAACCAGGCTGGGCCTGATGGATCAGCAGAGACCACCCAACCCTGCCAGGAGAGCATCTTGCTGGACTATAAGCCCTGTGGAGCCACAGCAGGGCTGAAAGTCTGGACAGGGTGAATGCTGGACAAGGGTGTTTCCAGGCAGACAGCCGAGGCAAGGGAAGAGCAGGACCCTGAGGTCTTAGGAGGACAGAGGAGCAGAGCAGGTGCTTCAGAGGCTGACGTGGCAATCCCACGTCAGCCCTGAAGTAACCAGCCTAGAAGGAAGTCTCCTGTACCCACACCTTGATTTTGCTCATACTGGACACAGGTTTTAATTTGCTAGAGTTACTCAAGGTGGCTAATGACTGAGGGATACAAAAACTCCTGTCTTGCACCTTTGCAAGCAGCTCAGGCTCACCTGCCCAGCACCGCAGCCCAAATATACCACATAGCACTTTACTGGGAAAGTAATTTCCTTCGATTCCCTCTGTAGTCACAGGTTGAGGGGCCCATACGGCCAGGCCATGACCTGAGTTGGCAGCAAAGGGAGTAGCCAGGTTGATGGTGTGTAGGGCTGCCTTCAGCACATGCTGCTGTGAGACTGGGAGCTGCCCGTGCCTTCATTGCAGGAGAAAATCGGCTGGAGAAATGACGCATCCCACCTGCTGGTCTTCACGACGGATGCCAAGACCCACATCGCGCTGGACGGGAGGTTGGCAGGCATTGTGCAGCCCAACGATGCCCAGTGCCACATTGACAAGGATAACTTCTACTCGGCCTCGACCACACTGGTAAGCCAGGGCCCACATGCCGGGTAGGGGAGAAACCTCCCTGTGCTGTAGGTGTAGGTGGCCACAGCAGAGTGTTTTATCCATTTTGAAACAAAGCAGAGGAGAGCTTGCAGGCACATGGTACCAGCTAAGCGTGTGCGTGTGCGTGTGCGTGTGCGTGTGCGTGTGTGTGTGTGTGTGTGTGTGTGACTCTTCCAAGTGTTAGAGGCTCTCTGAATTGCCCCAAGGAGCAGTGCCTGCCTCTTTGCAGTGAGACACTGGACCTCCTGATCTAATCAGACGAGCTTTAGGGAGGCCAGAGCTCCTGCTCAAGATCCCAGTGGGATGGGAAGCATGGACTAGCCCTGCCAAGGGAGTGTGATGGAGACCAGGGAGATCTCCATTCCCAGGTTACAGCCTCTCTACTCTCCCTAGGACTATCCCTCTCTGGGCCTGATGACCGAGAAACTCTCGCAGAAGAACATCAACTTGATCTTTGCTGTGACAGATACTGTGGTTGGCCTCTACCAGGTAACAGCTGCTGTGGAAAACCCCCCTCACGAGGTGGCTGGTGGAGTCCCAAGGAGCAGCCTCTCCAGCAGGCTGCAGGTCGCTGGGCATTGCCTGGCAGCTCCACATCCTCACAGCCACATGAGGAGGGCAAGTGCGTGTGCTGTGTGGAGCCCAGCCTGGCTCAGGAAGTTCTTGCACGCCCAGGCACAGCTTGGCCCAGCTGTGACATGTTCACCTGTTGCAAGCAGACCATGCTTCTGTTTTCTCACTAGAATTACAGCGAGCTGATACCAGGCACAACTGTGGGGACCTTGTCCAGAGACTCCAGCAACGTTCTGCAGCTCATCGTGGACTCCTATGGGGTGAGTGGGCAGTGCCACCATGTCTCTCTGGGCAGTGCAGCTCCAGCCCTGCCCAGGCAGCTCAGTGGGGGCCCCCTTATTTTAGAAGAGTAACTGCTTGCAGGACACAAAGAGCCTTGCCTCGGGTGCTTGAAGGAGAGCTGTATACTGTGGTGACCCCCAAAATAGCCCTCTCCCTCCCAAAATAGCTACCAAACCACCCACACAGACTTGACAGCTCTCTGGCCCTGAGCAGCCTCCCTGGACCAGCTGGAAGCATCTGCCTCTGCCTGCGTGTGCAGGGTGGGCCGGGAAAAGTGAGATCACTGCATCCGCAACGTCTGTCCCTTCCTGTCCTCGACAGCCTTTCCCGATGCAGCTGAGGCCTGAGAAAGACTCAGGGCACTTGGCTCCTTTCCTGCTTGCTTTAGTGCACATGGGAACATTGCTGTGGTGTGATCCTTTTCTCTGCCCCTGTTGAGAACAAACGAGCAGAAGCATGTCCGTGTCGGGGACAGCAGTGAGATGGAGGCAGCAGTGAGGGTGCACAGAGCCTGCTGCTCCTGGCAGGCAGAGAGGGGGTGACAGGGGTGCCAGCAGTGTGTGGTCCCAGCTGCTGGTAGCCGCAAAGAGCTGCGATGCTGCAGGGCCCCCATGTCCTGGCTGTCACCCTCTTGCTGGGGCCAAGCCCTGCCTGACCCATGCTGTCTGCTCCATCACTTCTCTTTGCCCCTTCACAGAAAATCCGCTCCAAGGTGGAGCTGGAAGTACGTGATCTCCCTGAAGAGCTGTCCCTGTCCTTCAATGCCACCTGCCTCAACGACGAGGTCATCCCTGGACTCAAGTCATGCATGGGGCTCAAGATCGGGGACACGGTGAGGCTCTCATTGGCATCCTCGCTTTTTCTCCCCCCTTGATGTAGCTGTGCTAGTCAAAAAGGGGAGCGCAGCCCACAGGGTTGCTGGGCATGGCCAGCTCACCCGATGCCCTCCGTGGGCCCAGCCTTGCCTGCATCAGCATCCCCCCCACCTCCCTATGACACTGCCCTGCAGGGCACCTTGCAGGCTCCTTGCAGCAGAGAGATGAATGGGGGAAAATGCTATTTCCAGTCTGCCGGATGCAGATTGTGGTCCTCCAGCTCTGTGCGTGCTGCTGGCCAGGGTCAGATAGGATGCAGGCCTGCATGGGCTTTTGGACTGATTCGGCCTGGCTGCTCTGGCAGGCAGCGCCCTGCCCCAAACTGTGCTCTGGAAAGCTTTAAGAGGCCTGCTTGGTCCCATGTCCCTAAACTTGGGCCCAGACCAAGCAGCTGGGTGCAATGGTGCTGGAGCAGCAGAGCTCCAGGAGACTGGAGCAGGTACCCTGATATCCTACTGGGGGGTACTGACACCTCGACACCCCTCCCCAGGTGAGCTTCAGCATCGAGGCCAAGGTGCGGGGCTGCCCGCAGGAAGGGCAGAAATCCTTCACCATCAAGCCCGTGGGCTTCAAGGACAGCCTGACCGTGGTGGTGAACTTCGACTGCGACTGCTCCTGCGAGGCTCAGGCCGAGGCCAGCAGCCCCTCGTGCAGCCAGGGCAATGGCACGCTGGAGTGCGGCGTGTGCCGCTGCAACGCCGGCCGCCTGGGCTCGCACTGCGAGTGCTCGGAGGAGGAGTACAACCCCTCGCAGCAGGACAACTGCAGCCCTCGCGAGGGCCAACCCCTCTGCAGCCAGCGGGGCGAGTGCATCTGCGGGCAGTGCGTGTGTCACAGCAGCGACTTTGGCAAGGTGACGGGCAAGTACTGCGAATGCGACGACTTCTCCTGTGTCCGCTTCAAGGGCCAGATGTGCTCGGGTGAGTGGCACTTGCTCAGCGGTGGCAAGCGAAGCAGGGCGGTTAACACGTGGAAGGGAGGCAGCTCCAGGTGAACTCGAGAGGCTGTGGCATCTTTTGACGCCCAAGCTCACAAGTAATGGAGAAACCAGCTATTTTGGGGCTTGTCCAACACGTCTTGAGTAGCTTCCCCTTTTTCGTTGGAGGCGAGTACAGCAGTGATTCCTTTGCGCCTCTGCATTGCCCTCTTTCCCGTGGATGGGGGATGACTAGGCTGTTTTAAGCAGCTACCAATTCTTCTTTTGCCTGAACAGTGTTGGTGTCTCTTGACTTGCTCCTGAAGGACACTGGGAACCCCAGCCCAAGCCCGAGGTGGGTCTTTTTTTGCCCAGGGACCCCTCAACACCTTCAGAAGGCCCTAGAGAGAGAGAGGGCAGCTGCCCCCACCACTGACTTCCTGCAGCCCTGGCTCTCCCTGGAGCAGCCAAGGATCTGGAGCAAGGGGGGAAAAAACTCTGTTTCTGGCAGCTTGTATCCCCTCCACTCTCCCTGTGCCTAAAAGCCACAGCAGGGTGACGGGCTCCTTCCTGGGCTTAGAAACAGGGCTCGCCTCCCTGCTTAGACGCAAATCAAAGCCCTTCCACAGGCCCAGATGAGCTGGAGATAATGCTCTGTGAAAGGAAACACTGGGCAGCAGGAGAGAAGGGTGGGGAAGGATATTGCACGGTTGGGATTTGGGAGGAGATTAAGTGCTAATTTTTTCCTCCACCCGGTTCTTAAAGACTCCTTGTTGGAAAAAATAGTGGTTAGGCAATCATCCTGATTGTTCGTCCTGACAGCATCCCCCCTCCAGAATATTCATCTCCTTGATTTGATACCGGGCTCCCCACCTCTGATCTTGGCTCCTGCTATTTTCAATACGAGAGAGGACCAGATCCTCAGTTATTCCTCCTACACTGAGGATGGGAAAGATCTGGTCTGCCCTGGAGTCTCTTGCAAGGCACTTCCCAACAGCAGTTGTCCAACATGTCCTGATGTGCCAGGACCCTTTCTCCATCCCGTGAGCCCCTGCCTGGTCTCCAGTAAACACGGGAGGTCTGAGCACACTGGAGCAGCGAACCCAGGGAGCTGAGTCCTGGTCTCGCAGAAGCTGGGAGAGGAACAGGAGCGGCTGGGGCTGGGATGTGAACTTGCAGCACGTCACCTCCCAGGGCAGAGCACTCCGAAACGCTCCAGCTGAGCTCAGAGCCTGACGGTGCCAAGTGCCTTCCCCCTCCCTGCCTCGAGCTGATTCAGCTCCTGAAAGCATGTAATTTCTTTTTTCCCTGCGGCTGGGTTAGTTTTGCCAGTTTTGTTTCCCCATCAGCTTACTGACGGCTCAGTGCTGGCACTGGAGCCGGCTCTGGGGGATCGGTGGGATGGGGCAGTCAGAGTAAGTCTTTAGGTCCGAGCTGTCTGCTGAGCCTGCCCTGGCGTGGGCAGCAACTTGTTTAACCCCCAGAAATGGCTGGATTCAAGAGGGGGGAAGAGGGGGGCTATCAGCCCCCAACCTCTCTCCATAAGCCCAGGTGAGGTGGCTGCTAACAGAGGGCCCAAAAAGCCACTGCTCTGTCCTCCTGTGAGTCCATCCAGACATGCACGTGCCTGGTACTGCCTCTAAGCTTTAGCTGTAGGTCATGCTGTTGTCCCACTCTGCCTCTGTGCTGCTGTGATTGATTCCTTATCTTAACAGCGTGGTGATAACAGGAGAAAACGTTTTTTTACCCCTATCAGGCAGGGCCCAGCCTCTGCCTGGGAGGGGGCCAGGTGTCTGTCCCTCTTCCGGCCACCCAAGACTGGCGCTGGCTCCAGCAGTCTGAGTGCCGCGGTCACGGGCTGTTTCTCCATCTCCCCGGAGGTCTGGCAGGGCCCCATGAGAGGTGTTGATGGATCGCTGCCCCCCAGGCAGAGTGGGCTGCTAATTAACCAGCTCGTTATTTCTGGCACTGTCACAGCCCTGTGCCCACATCCCTGGGCCAGCCTCAGCTCCATGCCAAGAGCTGGGAGAGTAAATGCAGCTTTTTCTGAGACGGTAGAGGTGGCCAGGCTCTTTCCTCTGGGCCGACTTCTGCAAATGCAAGGCTTGGCATAAGGCCAGCTGCATCTCTCCTGGCCTGGCTCTGCCCATGCCCCCTCTGCCCTGTCTGACCCGTCGGTATCGATCACGTCACACTTAGCCACTTCTCTCCAGCTCCTCCACAGCCCGTGTATTTCCGTGCCCTGTCACCCAGCTCGGTGCTGTTTTTTCCTGTGACTCAGTCCTAGTTCCTCATTAACCAGGTTACGCATTTATTTCTCATGCGGTGCCACCGTGCCCCAGAGCTGGAGGGGTGAGGAAGGCGTCTGGCCAATGCCCCCGCCGGGAGCAAAGCTCCCAACATGCCCCTGTGCACTCAGGGCTCGGGCTGAGTTGGCTCATGCTGGTCCGCAGTGTTTCTGCCCATTAGTCTTGTCTTTGCTGGAAACTTTCAAGTTTCCAAAAAATCAACTTTCAAAAATCAAACCGCAATCCAAATAGCTCCAGGCTTTGGTAAGATTTTTGCATGTCTGTCTGTCTCTGCTTTTTGTGATCAAACCAGCCTCGGAGAGCGGGCAGAACTTGTCAGGCTTTTCCTGGCAATCGGCTTTTCACAAATGGTTCAGGGCTGGGAAGTGAGCCGCAGTTGATGGGTTTTGCCTGGACGTCCTAACTTAATCTGAAACTGAAGACAAAAGCCAAAACTTGAATAGCGCAGAGATGGAGCTGATCAGGGCTCGCTTGCTGTTGCTGCCAACCAACCTGCCAGAGCTGAGGCAGCTCAGCCTGAAATTTGTCACGTTTTTCTTATCTGGATGGAACAAGAAGGGCATCATGGAGGCAGCGTAATGGAGCGGGGGACGCTGCAGGCAAAGGGATGGGACCGGGATCAGGGAGGAGGCGCAGCCCAGCACAGACGTTAGGGCCAGGCCTAGCACAGCACAGGAGGCTCAGCTGTGCTCTCAGAGGACACTCGAGGGCTCAGGTGCTGATGTTCTCATGGTGGTCCCCAGGCCACGGGCAATGCAGCTGCGGGGACTGCCTGTGCGACTCGGACTGGACCGGGGACTACTGCAACTGCACCACCCGCACCGACACCTGCATGTCCAGCAACGGCCTCGTGTGCAGCGGGCACGGCTCCTGCATCTGCGGCAAGTGCGACTGCACCCAGCCCGGCTCCTACGGCGACACCTGCGAGAAGTGTCCCACATGCCCAGACGCCTGCACCATCAAAAAGTGAGTGAGGCGCTAGGGCCAGAGCAAGGCAGAAACATGCCATGCCGGGCCAGAGTGCATCAGGGAAACGAGAACTGGCAGTGGGGTCATTGTCCACTGTCTGTGCCACAGCAGCAGCAGCCCAGTTAAGCTAGGCTTGCTGAGATCTAGCAAGTGATGGCAACAGGGTGGCTTGCTCATAGAAATGGGGGTCTGCAGTTCTGGGTGGCCTGCCTGTCACTGCTGGGATCGCTGGTGCTCAGGGTGAGCAGGGTTGTCCAGGGAAATCGCAAACTGAAAGATGTGACAGCTCCCAGGGGGAGAGCACGGAGAGCCCCCAACGCTTCCCTTCTGCTCATGGCATCTCCTTCCTCTTGCTCAGGGAGTGCGTGGAGTGCAAGAAGTTTGAGCGGGGTGTCCTCGTGGACCAGCAGTCCTGCAGCCGCTTGTGCCGCGATGAGATCGAGACGGTCCAGGAACTCGGTAAGAGAGGGGCCAAGGCACTCGGCAGGGCAGGTGGACTGCAGGCCGGACCAGACACAAATCTCTGCTCCAAACCATGGAAATTGGGGCTGCTTATGCCATCCCCAGGGTCAGGTCTTTTGCTTGGCGTGTGCTTCACCCGTGCCTGGTGAGGTGAGCTCTGACAGCCTCTTGCTTCCGCAGGCGACAGGGGCAAGGACGCCGTGAACTGCACATACAAGGACGAGAACGATTGCGTGGTGAGGTTCCAGTACTATGAGGACTCCAGCGGGAAGTCCATCCTCTCCGTCATAGAGGAGCCAGGTATGCCTGTGCCCCAGCGGCTGCTGTGAGTCCTTCCATGAGCCCATAGCACCTCTGTGAGCCTCTAGCCCTCCTGCCACTGCACAGGAGTTCAGCAGTGCCAGCAAGCTGCTTTGGGCAGCCCAAAGATCCTGCTCCCTCCAGAAAGCCACCAGCAAACTCAGGCACTCGGGGTTTAGCCCGTAGGGAGCAGGAAGAGCCGCTGCTGGCAGTAGTCCAGCTGGGAGGAGTCAAGGACCCATATGGGTGTTCCCACTTCCCATTCTTCCGTAAACCAGTCCTGTTGCCATTCGGGAGAGCCGGAGGGACAGACATCTGCTTCCTCTGGGCGTCCATCCACCTGGCAGTGTGGCTTTGAGATGTCCCCACCACCAAAGGAGTTGCTGCTCGCTCAGCTGCCTCTCCCAGCTGGCTCGGGCTCTGCTGAGCCTTTGCACCTCCTGAGAGCCGGGCCCTGAGCCAAGAGCTGGTTGAAGCTGATGCTCCGCAGGAGCCAGTGCGTGCTGCACGCCTGAGCTCTTTGGACCTCTGTCCACTTGTGCTGCCTAGCCAGGCTGGGAGCCAGTGAGTGCCATTTCATCCTGCCTCTCTTCCCATGGGGAGCTGAGCTGGTCTCGTGCCCTCCCAGAGAGCTGGAAGGGCTGTGCGGGTGGGCAGGGGCTGGTGCCAGCCGTTTTCCAGCACTGGCTGCAGCTGGGCTGGGAGTCCCTTTGCGCCTCGTGCTTCTGCTCCCCGGGCCCAGCAGGGCGGAGAGATCTGGGGCTGGAGAGGCGTTAAAAGCTGCGTTGTTCCTTGCCTCACGCTATCTGGGGCCGTAATTTCCTGCCTCTGTCTTGCGTTTCCCTGCTGTGTTGCTGGGCTGTTTCACTCCCAGTTGAGGCCGAGATGCCAACAGGGAGGAGGATCAACCTTCCCACCTCCCTGACCCCATCTCTGACGCCACGGTTCAGATTTTCTTGAGATGTCGTTAGCAATGCAGAAGGAATGCTTCATTTTCCCAGCATTGCACCCAGCCCTCCTTGTTGGAGGAGGGTGCAGGGGCTGGGCAGAGCCGGAGGGAGGGGATGGAGCTGCCTCCCACGCAGAGCAGCCCGGGGTATCCAGTGCTGCTGGGCCTCCAGCAGGCGGGAGAGCTTCTTTCCAGCTGCGCCGGCCGCAGATCCTTCGAAAGCAGGGTCAATAAAGCAGCTGCCGGCTCTAATTACAGCCGCCTGCTGCTGGCAGTGCTGCATCCCACCCCTTTCCCGGCCTCTGTGCAAGGGGAGACAAAGCAGCAAGGTCTGGGGTTTTTTGCACAGCGCTGTGCGAGGTGCCCGGTGTGGGGGGAAGTGGGGGCTGGCTGTTCCCAGGTTTGCACCGGACAAGGTATAACAGGTGTATATCAGTGTTTTATGTGTGTGGCATCAGAACTACTGTTACATGTCCAGCCAGACCAGCCCGGGTTATCCAGTGCTGCTGGGCCTCCAGCAGGCGGGAGAGCTTCTTTCCAGCTGAGCCGGCCGCAGATCCTTCGAAAGCAGGGTCAATAAAGCAGCTGCCGGCTCTAATTACAGCCGCCTGCTGCTGGCAGTGCTGCATCCCACCCCTTTCCCGGCCTCTGTGCAAGGGGAGACAAAGCAGCAAGGTCTGGGGTTTTTTGCACAGCGCTGTGCGAGGTGCCCGGTGTGGGGGGAAGTGGGGGCTGGCTGTTCCCAGGTTTGCACCGGATGTCTCTCTGTTCCTGGCGCGTCAGGCTGAGCGCAGTGTCGACGTGCAGCTTGGCAGCTGCGAGCAGGGGTGGTGGAGGGGTGCCAGTTGGGCTGCTTTTGGATGATTTTTCAGCCAGGTGAAGAACTTGGTCTCCTGCGCTGTCATCTCCCCTCTGCTGCGGTGAGACCTCTGGCACCCCTGGCATGTAGCCACAGTCTGTAGCCACAGTCTGATCACAGGCAGAGGCACAGGCTCCTCCTGCTGGCTCAGGAACACTGGGCCATCAACAGGCACAATGAAGCAGACAGCAGACAACTCTAGGGTGGGCAGTTGGGTACAGACCCCAGCCTGCTGTACTCCTCTGGGCCCTATAGATAGGAGCCTGAGTACCTCAGCATGAGCACCCTGTCCCCCTTTCACAGAGACTGGTGCGCTCAAGGGTGGAGGCTTCTGCCTTCCAACAGTGGAGGACAAAGTCACCCTTAGCCCAGAGATGCTCTCTATGCCCGTGGTCAGGCAGTGCAACAGGGTAGCCCCTCAGCTGCTTTTAATTCCCCCGGAGGTGCTGAGGCCATCTAACCCTTGCCTCCTTTCCCTAACAGACTGCCCGAAGGGGCCAGATATCCTGGTGGTCCTACTCTCAGTGACGGGGGCCATCCTGCTCATTGGCCTTGCTGCTCTGCTCATCTGGAAGCTCCTCATCACCATCCACGACCGTCGGGAGTTTGCCAGGTTTGAGGAGGAGAAGGCCAGGGCAAAGTGGGACACGGTAAGGGCCAGTGGGGTCCTGTGTACGAGGCAGGAGCCCCTCAGTGCCAAGAGTTTAACGCCAGGTCTGAGCAGAACCAGATCCCAGCGCTCCCAGTCGGAGAGCCCAATCCCTGTCTGTGGTCCCCTGGCGATGTTCGTTAGGGACCAGCTCGCCTCGTCCCTCTCCGATGTGTGGCTTGGGACAGGACTCAGCATGGCAGCCCCAACCTGGACCCCCATCCCCGTGCCTGCTGCCATCCCTGGAGCCATGCACAGGGAAGAGCAGATGTCCTAGATGCTTCCCTCACCTCCGGTGCATCCCGAGCACTTGCCGCTGGCATGACCCTCTTACTCACTGCCCGCACCAGTGTTTCCACCCCGTGAGCGAGGCAGAAGGTCCCTCCTGCCACAAGACGCCTGGAAGGGCTGAGGCATCCACCACATGAGGAAGAGGGCTGGGACAGCAACAGTGCCTCCTCCCTTGTCCCCACCACTGCTGCAGAGGGAAGGGAAGAGATGAGGTGGGATGGCGTGGTGTGGCATGGCTCTTCCAGGAGCCCCGTTTGCTTCCTTGCCTGCTCCCAGCGCAGCTCCTATGCTCCAGTGCAGCTTTTTCCTGCTCTCTCCCAGCCATGAAACCTCAGGGAGAGCTGCTAAAAAGTCAGAGCCCTTGAGTGGAGGTGTGGATTCACCACTCCATGCTGAAATGGCACCTCAGTTTCTCCAGAGTGGAGCAAATGCTGCGTACTAGCCTGATGCCATGCTCAAAGTGGTGACACTCATGTCTTCTTTTTCCTCCAGGGCCACAACCCTTTGTATAAGGAGGCTACATCTACCTTCACTAACATCACGTACCGTGGGAACATGTAAGGATGCCCACGGCCTGCCCCGTCCCTTCCCAGCACTGGCTGTGGGATCAGTGAGGATCGTGGGAGTTTCTGGAGTTTGGTTTACAGAAGAGCTTGTTAGTTGTCTGAGTGTGAGTGTGTCTGCGCGTGTGTGCGAGTATGTCTGCGTGTAATTTAACAACAACCCATCGACTGGCTCCGAGACCCTGCTGTCCATCACTCCACTATACTGCAGAGATGTTCTCTCCATGGCAAACCTCTTCTTTACCTCAGCGGGCCACCTCTGAGGAAGCAGATGGCCCCTCCATACACTGAACTAGGAGAAATGGGACTTTCTCTGGCTGGCAAGTCTGTGAACTCTGTTAGGTGCTCATCAGCGCTGAGTGGGTTTCAGGAGCGGCTGCTTGAACCCAGGGCTGCGAGCAGCTCTCTGTGGCCCGTGCTGGAGGAGCTCTGCCTGCTTGGAGATTCCCCACATTGATCCGCTGGATCCCTTGTGCACTGGACAGACCTTGGCCCTCCTGGATGCAGGAGCCATCTCCTCTGGGGCCAGGGCAGCTACGCTTGCTACCCACTCAGCAGGAGCCATCACCGTGCCTTATGAGCTGAGGTTACAGGTTGAGTAACTTGGCAGCTCAATGCTTCTTGCAGCACCACATTTCTGGCACTGCTCTGATCCAGGACAGTGAAAAGCAGTGTCCTCACATTGCAATGACCTTCTGAAATCCCTCTACATACACTCACTTTGCACCACCAGCCGCCTCCATGTAGCATCAGCTGTGCTGGTCCCAGCTGCAACCTGGCCCAGGCCCTCAGACAGTGCTGAGCTCCCCGTCCCCTTCCACCTTCCCCATGCAAAGAGGCATGTGGCTGGTTTAGGACAGGTCCTGCTGCCTGGGGTAGCCCTCG